TTCAATAAAGTTTTATCAAACAATGAAAAATGGGGAGGACGAGATAGACCTAAACAACAACTAGAAAATTTTCAGCAAATATTCCTTGACTGTGAGCTAAGAGACCTTAGATTCAAAGGCCCCCAATACACATGGTATAATGGAAGACACGAATCTACCCAAATTTTTGAAAGACTAGATCGCTTTACTGCTAATGATTCCTGGTGTCGACTCTTTGCACAAGCTTCGATTACTCATGGCTCCACCGCATATTCAGATCATCTCCCTTTGTGGATCCAGCTAGATGGTGATTATAAAATACCTAGAAGACCTAGACCTTTCAGGTTTGAATCAATGTAGCTTGGAGAAAATGCATGTAGTGATATTGTGTTGGAACAATGGAAGGACACCAACTCTCAGAATTTGGACATCATTATGGAAAATATAAGTTCCTGCAGTAAACAACTTTAGTTTTGGAATAAAGAAAAATTTAGCAAAGTGCAAGTGAAGCTTAAAAATGCCAGATCAAAGCTCTTCCAAATCCAAGAGAAAGACCCTGCAACTATAGATCCTAATAAACTTCGACAATCTGCTGAAGAGTTGAAAACTTGGATAGATAGAGAAGAACTTATGTGGAAACAAAGGTCGAGAACTACTTGGCTTGAAAAGGGAGACCAGAACACACATTATTTCCATGCTATAGCTTTCCAAAGAAGAAATACAAACTTGATCACTAAACTCTTAGATGATCAAGACTGCTGGCAAGATGGAGAAGCATGTAACCGTATTATCATCAACTACTTCTCTGATCTGTTTTCCTCTATAGGATCCAGAAATCAGAGTGTTGTCCTGGAAAAAATGGAATGCAAATTAACTCTCGATATGAACAATAAATTAATACAACCTTTTACAACAAATGAAGTCTCCCGAGCCTTGAAGGAAATGCACCCAACTAAAGCTCCAGGACCGATGGTATGCCCCTTCTCTTTTTTCAAAGATTTTGGCCTCACATTGGCTCCTCTGTTACCAATGTTGTATTGTATACTTTAAATACATGTGAATTTTCCCAGATGTAAATCACACTTTTATTACACTTGTCCCTAAGATAAAGAACCCATAGAGAGTTAAGGATCTCAGGCATATTAGCCTTTGTAATGTCCTATATGAATAGATGTCAAAAGTTGTGGCTAATAGGATAAAAAAGTGCTACCTTCAGTGATTTCAGAAACACATTCAGCTTTTATCAAAGGGAGACTGATCACAGACAATATGCTTATGGCCTACGAGGTGCTCCATTTCTTGAGAAGAAAGAAGAAGGGAAAGAAAGGATACATGTCTCTTAAGCTCGAGCAAAGCATATGACGAAGTTGAGTAGTCCTTCCTCGAAGTGGTTATGTAGAAATTGGGCTTCCATGATAAGTTTGTTCAGCTAGTGATGAAATGTGTTACTACTCCCTCATTTTCAATTCTTATCAATGGATCTCCCACTGAACGCAAAACTCCCTCAAGAGGCTTGAGGCAAGGAGACCATATTTCTCCCTACTTATTCCTTTTATGCACTGAAGGATTGATCAGACTATTAAATGAGGCGTAGATGAATAAAAATGTGGCTGGTATTCAGGTGAGTAGAGGAGCTCCACATTTGAATCATCTCTTCTTTGCAGATGACAGTTTGATTTTCTGTGAAGCAACTGAAGGTAATACTTCTCAGTTACAATCTCTCCTAAGTATTTATGAAGATGCATTAGGTCAACAAGTAAACAGGGACAAAACTTCAATGGTATTCATTGTAAATGTAATGCGGGAACAATAGCATGGATCTATGGAATGCTCCTCAAGTGCAGCAATATGAAAAGTATCTTGGACTACCACCTATGGTTGGTAGATCAAAATCTCGAGCATTCTCTGAAATAAAACACAAAGTTTGGCAGAAACTGCAAGGATGGAATAGTGGTATATTCTCCCAAGGAGGTAGAGAAGTTCTCCTCAAATTAGTGGCTTTAGCGATCACAGCCTATGCTATGAGTTGCTTCAAACTTCCATCCACATTATGCACTGAAATTGAAAAGATGATGGCTAGATTTTGGTGGGACCAAAGGAAGGAAAAGAGAAAGATCCATTGGCAGTCATGGAAAAATATGTGTAACTCAAAATCCATGGGGGAGAATGGGTTTTAAAGAGCTCGAGTTTTTCAATATGGCCATGCTTGGCAAATAAGCTTGGAGACTCTTGAAACATAGGGATAGCTTGGTTCATAAAATCTACTCTGCTTGTGATTTTGCAAATGGTAACTTCTTAAAAGCTTCTATAGGAGGTAATCCCTCTTATGCTTGGAGTGGAATATGGGAGGCAAAAAACTTATTGATACAAGGGAGAAGATGGGTTGTGGGAAATGGAAACACTATACATATCCTGAATGATACTTGGATCCCTAAAATGCGAGATCTGAGCAAGGAGTTGGGGACTGACTTACAACAAAGTCATAGACAGTAGCTTGAAGGCCTAGTATCTTCTTTGATTGATCCAAATCTAAGGTGGTGGAACTTGACAGAACTTAGAGCTCTATTCAATCCAAAAATTATTGAGGCTATTATGAAGTTTCACCCAAGCCACTCGGGAGAACATCATTTTTGGTTATGGGAACATGAAAAATCTGGAATCTATTATGTTAGCAGTGCATACAGGTTCTTCAGAACCTATCTAACCCCTGATCGTGGAAACTCCTCGAATGCAGCTAAGAAAAAGAAATTTTGGGATGCTATGTGGCGACTAAATATTCCTCAAAAAGTAAAGATTTTCGCTTGGAGAGCTTTTCAAAAGAGCTTGCTTTCTAAACAAAATCCGATTCGAAGAAGAATCACAATTACTTCTCAATGTTGTTTTCGTGATAACCAAGTGGAAGACCTACGCATGCTTTGCTTCATTGCCCCCTCTATCTACCAATTCCTAACTAGTCGGTTTCCAGTGCTACAAAATAAGGCTTATCAAGGAGGTTTCATAGAGTATTCCACCGAAGTAATGACTAAAGACTCAAAAAATGCTCTTGTTGAGTTTTTACTTATTACTTGGGGCGTTTGGTTCTGTCGAAACAAGATGGTTCATGAACAACTTAGCCTCCCACCACAACAAGTAATTGCAACTGCTCTAGCCAAAAAAACATATTGCTGAACCTGGTCCCTCCCTTAACATTGCTCCGGGTGTGCTCCCCCGAAAGCATAGATGGTCTGCACCACCTCAGAATACATTAAAACTCAATACTGATGGCTCATTGTTCTTTGATTTAAACAAGGCTGGCCTTGGAATTATTTTACATGATCACAAGGGAGAAATAATTTTGGCTGCAAGTGGTCCTGAAACCTCAACTCTAGAACCTGAACATATAGAAGCTGCTGCACTTGTGAGATGCTTACAACTTTGCCTTAACCTTGGCATATCTCATTTGTTGGTGGAGAGTGACTATTTATTCCTTGTCAATGAAGTAAATAAATCAGTTTTAACTTCTGCCTCAATTCGGTCCCTAGCTGTTGAAATTAAGCAATTAATGCAGAGATTCCCTCAATGTAGCCTCCACCATTGCAGTAGACTTAACAATCAGGGAGCTCACTATCTGGCACGACATGCATGGTCTCTCAAAGATATAGCTCTTTGGTGGCATAGTGTTCCTTCTTTCATTGAAAATGTAATTTTCATTGATACGCACTATTGTACTCTTTCTTAAGGCTATTACCTTTATGAATGAAATATTTACCCATAAAAAAATAATAAAAAAGCAAGTGAAAATTTTGACCTTTTAAGATCTGAAAGAAAGTCTAGTCATCTACAAATGACACCATCTAGAAAGTTTGTACATCTACAAATGACACCATCTATTACTAACTCGAGTAACTACTTAGAATATCAAAACTTCAAGCACTTGAACTTCCCCGAATGAATTGGCAGGGAATAAAAGCTTTCACTATGGCATAAAAAATTGAGAAATGGCATCTGAAATCAAATAAAAGCAAAGTACAAGAAATATAATTGGACACTTGACATTTCATCTGTCAAACAACTTTTCAAAGCTAAAAAATGCTCTAAAATTACAACAATCAAATTTCTAATCATATAAAACCTTCTTAAAACACGCCACAACTTTTGAACCAATAACACAGTTAATACATCCACCAACAAAAACAAACCAAGCTAATTACAAGTTTCTACAACGTCATGAGGTCGGGGCACTCTGAAAAATACGCATAATTTTGTGGCTGGGGTACACAAACTATCCAAATAGTAGTCATCCCAACACAAACAAAAAATCAATTACAAAAAAATAATACAGGAACGAGACGTGCGTGGTGGTCACACTTCAGGCTTTGGGGGATTTTCGATGGGGGCCTCGCCATCTGGTGCATGATCTGTCTCACCGTGCGAAATGCATTAGGCACATCATTTGCCTCCAACTGATCGTCATCCACTGCAGCGTTGGGTGCCAAACTGTCATCATAACCATCAAACAGGGGGCATAAGATTAAAAGAAAATATGTAAAATGAGGATATAATTTAAAGTAATTGAATATGCAAAAGAGGAATATTAACTACTAAAAATATCAGGGGCAAACGATTAAAAGAAAATATTTATCCACCCAGGCGTATAATCTAAAGTAGCAGAAATAACTAATGAAGTACCCAATATTTACCTCCCTCTATAAAGCCTAATCAAGCTCCTGTTTATCATCAGGTGTAATGTCTTTGGCATACAACTGAACCAAGCTATCTAAAATTCTGGATAAGATGAAATCAAGAACAGAAATTAGAAAAGTCGACAGAAGGAAGGTTCTATATAGGACCATAGAAATTATAGTTGTATGCCAAGCTATCTCGAATTCTGGATAAGATGAAATCAATAACAGAAGTTAGAAAAGTTCAGCAGAAAGAAAGTTCTATATAGGACCGTAGAAATTATAAAAACCAACCAAGTGATATGAATCTTGAGCGTGTAATCCAATAAACGTAAAATCTGGAAAAACAAACCTCCCATGCTAATGAAGTAATGATCTTTGAACGAATTGAGTTGGATGAGCAGTAAACACCAAATCCTCAGTTTGATTCTTCAATGCATTAAAAACTTCTTGTGGGGACATCTTTAAATCAACCACAAGTCTCTTGATAATCTCTTCGATGTCTGATTCAGTAGTAATAGAGTTTTCATCAATGCAATCGCTCTTTTTCTTTTTGTTCTGCTGGAGGTAAGCGATCTGAACCTCCACAGCCAAGTTGGCCAAGTTAAGCATGTGAGAGAACGCTTTCGCAACTACAACTGAATCCCCCGGATCCAAAACATTTCCAAGCTCCTTTTTGGGATCATGCTTTATTGAAAAACAATAAAGAAGCTGAGCTGGAAGACCACATCAGCAACCAATCCATCCAGCATGAAACAAATCAGCATTATCCTAAGTCGATTCAAGAAGAAGGCATGGAAGGATCTAGTAGCTAATTCAGTTTCTCTAGCTCATCACTTTTCTATTTTTCTGTTTCAGTCCTCTGCTCCACTTATCAGTGTATATTCCTTATTAGTTATAGGTTTAATTGTTGTATATATAAACGGCAGTTTTGTGCTTTGTAAATCAGAGAAAATATATACAATTCAAATTCTCTCCAATTGTTCCTCAAACAAATTCTCCAAGTTAATTACATTTGAAGATATTTTAATTTTTCAATTGTTGAAATGGTATCAGAGAATGAAATAGAGGAATCAAATTCTGGCAATGCAAGTCCAGTTCAAGCACAGAATGTAAATCAAACTGGTAGCTCGAACATTGTCTGCCTTGACCCTACTCAACCAAGCAGTCCATACTTCATTGGAAACAATGATGGTACTGGTGTTGTTCTTGTCACTCAAACGCTAGATGCTAGCAACTATTACTCATGGGCTCGATCCATAAAAAGAGCATTGCGCATCAAGAACAAATTAGGTTTTATAGATGGAAGCATATGTGAACCTGAAGATCCAAATGATCCAATCATGGATCATTGGTTGCGGTGTAACGACATTGTCATCACATGGTTGCAGAACACAATGGCTATGGACATCAAGTACAGCACCACCTATGCTGAAATGGCTCACCAGCTTTGGATAAAGTTGGAGCAGTGATTCGCCCAACAAAATGCACCTAGGATTTTTGAAGTTAAACAAGCCATAACCATGCTACTACAGAACCAGGACCCTATGAATATCTATTTCTCCAAACTTAAAGGCACTTTTAGATGAACTGATGAACTATGAGGTGATACCTAGCGACAGTTGTGGAGGATTGAAAATTGTGATCGAAAATCAACAAAGAGACTGGGTGATGAAATTCCTAATGGGGCTCAATGATTCTTATAAAGGAATTAAGGCACAAGTCCTACTGATCAAGCCCTTCACAAGCTTATATGAGGTCTATTCAATCATTCAGCAGAAGGAAAAGAGGAGAGAAATTTCAACTAAAAATGGTGGTCCTGAGCCTATGGCTCTTATCTCCAAGAGAGGCTATAGAGAAGGTGGGAAACACAATTACACAGCACAGAAAAAAGATGGTTATTATTGCACTTTCTGCAAAATTCTAGGACATTCCACTGAAAGATGTTTCAAGGCTAATCCAGCTAAATCAGTCTGTTCTTATTGCCGAATTCCTGGCCATACTGCTGATAAGTGTTTTAAACTACATAGATATCCACTAAGCCAAAAGTTTGAAGGGAAGGCAAGATCACTAGCAAATCAATCAGTTGCATCCTAGCCAGTTGCTCAGGAAGTAGTGAATCCAAAGTCCCAGGTGTCATTAAGTCAGGAACAATATTCCCAGCTCATGGCACTTCTCAAACCAACCACAGCATCTCCATTCCCTTCTTACTCAGTGAACAAAGCTCAGTATGCTGGAACTCCCTCATCATCTGATGAAAACATACATCAACTTTCTGGTATATCCTTATGTATGTCTGTTTCAGAATCAAAATTTTCTAACATTTCAGAAATTCCGTAGATCCTAGACACAGGGGCTACTGACCACATGATTTGCTCGACTTCATTGTTTTCCTCCATTCAGTCACAAGCTTCCTACTCAGTATCTTTACCAAATGGTAACAAGGTCCCAGTCACACATATAGGGACAGTAAAAGTCACAGAAACACTAACGCTTCATGATGTTCTTTGTGTACCCAACTTCTCATATAATCTGATTTCTGCTAAGAAATTGACTCAGACCCTTAATACATTGTGACATTTGGGGGCCTTGCAATGAAACTGGAAGTGATGGTTCCAATTATTTCTTGACCATCGTGGATGATTTCAGTAGGGGTACTTGGGCGTATATGATAAAACTAAAATCTGAAGCCACCATTGTACTTCAAAACTTCTGTACTTTTGTAGAAAATCAATTTGAAACCAAGGTCAAAATCATTAGAACTGACAATGGGAGAGAATTCAATATGGGGGGATTTCTATCTCAAAAAGGGGATCATACATCATAGAACATGTGTCAAAACACCACAACAGAATGCTGTGGTCGAAAGGAAGCATCAGCATATCCTCAATACAGCTAGGGCATTAAGATTCCAAAGTGGAATTTCTCTCAAATACTGGAACTACTGTGTCCTTACTGTCGTTTACCTGATTAATAGGACACCATCTCGCATTTTAAATAACAAGAGTCCTTATCAAATTCTTTTTGACAAAAAGCCAGACCATCTGCAGCTCAAAGTTTTTGGCTGCCTAACATTTGCTACCACCATTGTTAATGGGAGACATAAGTTTGATCTAAGGGCAAGGAAATGTGCCTTCATAGGATACCCTTTTGGTGTTAAAGGATATACCATACTGGATATTGAAACTACGATGATAATTGTTTCCAGGAATGTAGCTTTCTATGAAAATGTTTTTCCTTTTAAAACTGAAAATCCCACCAGCAAAGATCAAGGACAATTCAATCAAAGTAATGATATCTTTCCTCAAAATCTTGTTTTTCATAAAGATTTTGGTCTGGCCACACCAACACAAGATGCTTGTTATAACTCACCAGGGACTGAATCCCAGAACACAGAGCCCTTAGAAATGTTCCACAAAGCCTTAACCAAAATGAGACTGAACCAGAACTTACAGATGAATTTTGTAATATTCCTGATCCACCATCAGACATCATACCTACCACTCACTTATCCCGTAGGTCTTCTAGAATTCGAAAAGCACCAACCCACCTACAGGACTTCATATGTCAGTAAGCTACTTGCCTTCACCCATCTCATGAATTCCTCTCAAATACTGGAACTACTGTGTCCTTACTGTCGTTTACCTGATTAATAGGACACCATCTCGCATTTTAAATAACAAGAGTCCTTATCAAATTCTTTTTGACAAAAAGCCAGACCATCTGCACCTCAAAGTTTTTAGCTGCCTAACATTTGCTACCACCATTGTTAATAGGAGACATAAGTTTGATCCAAGGGCAGGGAAATGTGCCTTCATAGGATACCCTTTTGGTGTTAAAGGATATACCATACTGGATATTGAAACTAGGAAGATAATTGTTTCCAGGAATGTAGCTTTCTATGAAAATGTTTTTCCTTTTAAAACTGAAAATCCCACCAGCAAAGATCAAAGACAATTCAATCAAAGTAATGATATCTTTCCTCAAAATCCTGTTTTTCATAAAGATTTTAGTTTGGCCACACCAACACAAGATGCTTGTTATAACTCACCAGGGACTGAATCCCAGAACACAGAGCCCTTAGAAAATGTTCCACAAAGCCTTAACCAAAATGAGACTAAACCAGAACTTACAGATGAATTTTGTAATATTCCTGATCCACCATCAGACATCATACCTACCACTCACTTACCCCATAGGTCTTCTAGAATTCGAAAAGCACCAACCCACCTACAGGACTTCGTATGTCAGCAAGCTACTTGCCTTCACCCATCTCAAAAGTCAAACAAATTGAGGGGACTGAACTCCACAGGTAAGCAATATCCTCTTGATGCTGCTATTTCATATGAAAAATTGTCAACTTCATATAAAGCTTTTGTAACTTCCCTTACATCACATTCTGAACCTAAAAACTATCAGGAAGCCAAAGACTCACCAGAATGGTGTGCTGCCATGAGTAATGAGATTAAAGCTCTTGAGATTAATGACACCTGGGATCTTGTGTTTTTAGCCCCTGACAAAAAGGCAATAGGATGCAAATGGGTATACAAAACCAAGTTCAATGCTGATGGAAGCATAGAGAGGTTTAAAGCAAGGTTAGTTGCTAAAGGGTATACACAAGAGGAAGGATTTGATTATCACGAAACCTTCTCACATGTGGCTAAGGTTGTGACCATCATAACCCTATTGGCTCTGGCTACAATAAAGGGTTGGGATCTTTTCCAATTCGACGTCAATAACGCCTTCTTGCACGGGGATTTGGAAGAAGAGGTATATATGGAGCTTCCCCCAGGTTACTCAAATAATGACAGGAAGAAGGTTTGTAAGCTCAAAAAAAGCTTGTATGGGTTAAAACAAGCATCACGCCAATGGTACTCTAAGCTCTCTAAGTTCATCATTGAGTTAGGATACGTCCAATCCAAGGCAGACTATAGCCTATTCACTAAAGGATCTGGAAACTCTTTTACTGCCATTTTGATATACGTTGATGATATAATTGTTGCAGGGAATTGTCTTAACACAATCAACCATCTGAAAGGCTGCCTTCATGAGCAATTTAAAATCAAAGATCTTGGGAAGTTGAAGTACTTCCTTGGCATAGAGGTGTGCAAAGGGGCTCCACATATGCCAACGTAAGTATTCTTTTGATATACTAAGTGATTCAGGGACAATTGGGTCAGCACCAGCTAGGATCCCCTTGGATCAAAATGGGAAATTAACTAAAGATGAAGGAGAACTTCTCCCTGATTTGGCACTTTACAGGAGACTGATAGGCAGACTACTCTACTTAACCATTACTAGGCTAGAAATCTCATACTTAATTCAATTATTAAGTCAATTTATGTGTACTCCTCGACTACCACATTTACATGCATCACACAAGGTTCCAAGGTACATTAAGAGGGCTCCAGGACAAGGCTTATTCTATTCAGCAAATTCAAATGAACAACTCCATGGATATTGTAACTCCGACTGGGGAGCGTGTCCTGAGACCAGAAGATCAGTGAGTGGATATTGTGTCTTCATTGGAAAGTCATTGGTATCCTGGAAATCCAAGAAGCAGCACGTCGTTGCCAGGTCCTCCTCAGAAGCTGAATATAGAGCCATGGCCAACTTATGTTGTGAATTAACGTGGTTCAGATATCTACTTAAAGATTTGAGAGTAGCTCATCCTCAAGCTGCCTTGATGTATTGTGATAACAAGTCTGTAGTTTACATTGCACAAATCCGGTTTTTCACGAAAGAACCAAACACATAGAGCTTGATTGCCACCTAATTCGAGATAAAATACAAGAGGGAAGCATTATCACAAAACATGTTCCCAGCAGATCGCAGACAACAGACATTCTCACCAAGACTTTGAGTTCTCAAAATTTTTATTCATGCATGAACAAGATGGGAGTTATGGACATATACTCTCCATCTTGCGGGAGGCTATTGAAAAACAATGAAGAAGCTGAGCTGGAAGACCACATCAGCAACCAGTCCATCCAGCAAGAAACAAACTAGCATCATCCCAAGTTGATTCTAGAAGAAGGCATGGAAGGATCTAGTAGCTAATTCAGTTTCTCCAGCTCATCACTTTTCTATTTTTCTGTTTCAGTCCTCTGCTCCACTTATCAGTGTATATTCCTTATTAGTTAATCCACATTAACAACATATATATTTCGGCAGTTTTGTGCTTTGTAAATCAGAGAAAATATATACAATTCAAATTCTCTCCAATTGTTCCTCAAACAAATTCTCAAAGTTAATTACATTTGAAGATATTTTAATTTTTCAATTGTTGAAATGCTTGCCGTCTTCATACTCAGCAGAAAGTTCATAGCACTCTTGACATATATTTATCTAGGAATTTTAAAAAATACCATTACTGGGTTGATCCAAAAATTATTGATATATCACATTCAGACAAAACTACTATTGAAATCAAACGACGATTAAACGATACATATAGTTGAAGCAAACTATAGGGACAATGTTATCTACCAATGCTGATTACGATTAGAACCAAAACCATTTTTCAGATTATCTATCAAGAAACACAGTTCAAAAAACCAAAATTAACATAAAATCTGGTGTTTAGCAGCATATCTTTTCACAACTTTTGCTACCTTGTGCTTGTAGGTAATTTTTATTGCACAATATCACGGAGCACTATCCATCATAACCGAATTAGATTTCAACTTTGTTTTCTTCCTTAATCTCGTCCATTGTTGTCGAAGAATTAGTGAATAACCAGAACTAGTGAATTACCAGAACTTCGTTAACATTGTTTTCTTCCTTAATCTCTTCCAACATAAGAAGGAGTTGAAACAAAAGATCCTTAATCTCGTCCATGTTTTCTTCCTTAATCTCGTCCATGTATTCTTCCTCAACATACAAATAATCCGTTAACATTGTTTGTCAAAAACCAAGAATTAGTGAATTACCAGAACTTTAATAGTACCGAAACAGTCCTCAATATCAAGATCAAACTTTTGGCATCATAATCAAATAAGTATTATTAAAAAAAATATTGTTTCCTTGAGATCTTCTCCGTGCAAAATCCCGAAGAATATCTAGAATCCAAAAGCAGAGCATCATACTCAAGAAGCTTGTCATAGTCGGACACTTTCCCAGGTACCAAAAGCCTCAATTGGGCATCAATTGATGCCATTTTATCCAAATTCTTACTAGCCATGTTAGAGTCATGTTAAAGTCCCACATTGGCTGGTGATATTTACATGATCCACTTAATAAAGTAAGGACAATCCTCCCCTAACAAGTCAGTTTTGTTAGGTTGAGTTAGACCCAATATTTTTTCTAATATGGCATCAGAGCATGTCCAGTTTTGCAATGTTGGGTGCACCCAATATCAATTTGTTCACTGTTGTTTGGCATGGTCCACGATGTGTGTGAGGGGGGCGTATTAGAGTCTCGTATTGGCTGGTGATATTTACACAATCCACTTAATAAGGTGAGGGCAATCCTCCCCTAACAAGTCGGTTTTGTTAGGTTGAGTTAGGCCCAATATCCTTTCTAATAAGCCATCAAATTTTTCACTCTTCTCTTAAACCCAAGTTCTGAATACAAAAATTGACTACAACCCTGCAAAAGACGAGAAATAGCAGTGAAAATCACGGATTTGCAGATGGAAAAATGAAATGAAATCTCCGAACCATTGAAAAACTATTAGAACTAAAAGGAAATGTAAAACGGATACTTTCTCATTACAAAAAATCATTCAACATGAGTGTACATATATAAAGCATAAATAGGCGCCAAACCAACTGCTATAACAAATTATCTAGCTGGCAAAACTAACTACCTAACTTGTAAACTAACTATCTATTTTACAAAGTTTACATATTGATACTAAAGTCTACACATTAGTTCCAATACTCTCCCTCAAGATGTGTCGTAAATGTCTTTTACACACATTTTAGATAACAAAGGCTTTAGTGTAGAGGCTGGTAGAGGTTTGGTGAAAACATCTGCAAGTTGATGCTTTGATCAAACAGGAAGAAGATTCACTATTCCTGCTGTGATTTTATCACGTATGAAATGGCAATCGATTTCAATGTATTTTGTCCGTTCGTGAAAAAAGGGATTGGTGGTGATCTGAATGGCAGCATGGTTTTCACAATAGAGGATAGTTGGTAATGTATTAGGAACATGAAAATCCTTGAGTAACTGGTGAATTCAAAAGATTTCACTCACGGTAGATGAAATGGCTCTATATTTCGCTTCAGTTGAAGAACGGGAGATAGTTTGTTGTCTCTTTTATTTCCATGATACCATTGAATTACCAATAAAGCTACAAAAACCAGTAGTCAACTTTCGTGTGCCAATACACGACCCCCAATCAGCATCAGAAAAGGCTAGTACAGTAATGGGTGTACCAGGAGGCATTTGTGAGGAGAACAAAATACCCTATCCAGGATTGGCCTCTAAATACCTTAAAAGATGATGAATTGCTTTGAGGTGCGTCATTCTTGGTTGAGCAGCGTATTGACTCAGTTTTTTTTATGGAAGGAGGGCGGTACCTCCGAAATTTTATTAATATGTCCTCACTTGTGGTGGGGGAATACCATGGTTACAAATGATATCAATAAAATCAATAAATGAAGAAATACTACTCCCTTACAGTGAAAGTAAAGAATAATAGAAAATCAGCAAAAAATGAGTACTACTTCCCTTACAAAAAGTACAAGTGTAAGCAAAAATAAAAGTAAAAGCAAAATACAAATACTTCAACTCTAGTGTTGGGCAAACCATATCTATCAATCTGAACAAGCGCCATGATATGTCGTGGTAGGTCGACTGGTCTATATTCCTGGTATCTACGATGTTGCTAACCCTCGGTAGCAAGTGCATCTGCAACTTGGTTCCCCTCTCTGAAGATGTGAGAAATCATATCTCTGTCAAAGGAAATGATATCTGCAATCTGTATGAGTATCCCCTGGATAGGCCACGGTCCACCACCTCCAGTGATGCAATGAATGGCTACAGTTGAGCCTGCCTCAACCCAAATATCTGACAAATCAAGATCTCTAGCCAGTAGTATCCCATCACAAATAGCCCCGAGTTCCGCCTCTAATGTCATACATTCATTGTCCATATGAAGTTGAGAAAGCCCTTATACATTTTCCTGCATAGTCCCTGATAATGTCTCCCCTACTCGTAAACCCATCCTTGACACAACCATCGGTGTTGATCTTGACAGATCCAAATGATGGAGTGCGCTACCAAACCATGATAGGGAGAGGAGATGGGGGAGAGTCAAAAAATACCAAAAAGTATAATAAGCTGCATGGCATTACGCCAATGTAACGGTCGGAATAGTCTACCAATATAGAGGAAAGATACCATATGGTAAACTCTCCTGATAATACTTCTCGAACTCATACGTATGTTCCCGTACTTTGCATTATTCCTCTCAGTCCAAAGAAACCAGAAAATCAATAGATGAATAATGATGCGAATGTGCCTGATCCTTGCAAATTGACCTGAATACCTCCATCTCAGAAATCTCTATCTGACACTCTCTCTTACATTCATGGTAATATGAAATAAAGCCCCAAAATGTTTCCAAACATGATCTGAAATACTGCTACTAGTAAAAATATGAGTAATGGTCTCAATCTCTAAACAACACTGACATCGAGAAGCCAACTGACGTCGATCCTCCTCTGGATAATGACATTAACTGGTATTAAGTCATGCCATAATCTCTAACAGAAGAACGAAACGGTAGGAGGTATGATAGAGCTCCACAGTAGGCGAAGTGAATCCTGCACTGACCTGCTAGAGACAAGTCGCCATTAAAGAATACATTATTTATATCTAATTGGAATAAGTGCCATCATGATGAGCTGCAAGTGTGAGTAAAACCTTGATAGTCACATTCTTTGCTACTAAGGAGAAGGTGTCAAAATAATCAAAAACCTTCATGTTGTGTGTAGTTGCAACAAGACGTGCCTTATGAGTTGTATTTATTTTTATAGATCCACCTACATCCAAGAGAATGTTTCCCAGGATATAGAGGTAGGGGCGGACCCAGCACCTGGGCGGACCCCGCGATCTCCCATGCTAGATCTGTCGGGAGCTTCAGGACACCGCCCACGGTCCGCCTACCGCCGGGAAGAAATGAAGAAGATGCCCTCTGCGCCTGCCAAGAATGGGTGGCCATTGGGCTTGAAAATTTGTTTTTTTCCTTCCTTATTGTTTATGCCTTTTTTAAAAATTAAAAAAAAAGGCCCTATGAATGGGCCCAATCTATGGTTATTGGTCGACCGGATGAATGGATATATGGGGTTCATTAGTCACAAAACCTAATTCGATTCCGAAATTGAAAACTGACAGGGAAGGGAGATGACCTGAAAAGTGAACGTTGCGGAGTGCGGACCTGCTGTCTGTGACGCTTCCGATCCAGGAGACCGGTGAACGGTGAGTGCATTTGGCCTTTGCCCTTTAGTTTTGTCGCCCATAACCAAATTTTGGGATTTCATAATTATTGATACTACAATGGATATCATAATCCATATTCTAAAACCTCCAGAACCCATTTCAAGAACAATTTATAAGCTAATCTTGAGATGAATAGAGAAAATTGAAAGCCTGCAAACTATATATAGAAAACTAAAAGAAATTCTAAAGTTGTTGTTAGCATCATCAAATTGATATGAAATTTAATACATACCAGTTAATTAACTAATTTTTTTGACTTTAGACATCTTAATATACCAATAATTCTAAGAAACTAAGTGATAGAGACTTGCATAATTGTCGGTGGTGAATGAACCGTTTCCGTTCGGTTTCAACTTTCAAGTCTCACTCTCTGTTTTTCCTTCTTTTTTTGTTTTTAGTTTTTGTGAATTTGTGATTTATGAATTATGATATGAGAACTTATGTTGTATTATTGTCTGAGACTATGAGTAATGACTTATGAGTTATAATTTTGATTTGTGAATTGTGATTTGGGAATATAGCTTTTTAGGAAATTTGGGATAAGTGAAAAAAATTAATGGAGAAGATGTTGGGCTCAATATACTATTGTTAATCAATTTTAAGTGAAAAATTAATTGGGGCATTTTGCAAATAATGGAGCGATTTTCTTGTATATCTGCAAGTGTTTTTAGAGAGAGTTGTTATGAAAGTTGTTGTATATATTAAAATTCATTTTCTTTACGTTTTAGAGTTTATTTGATTTGATTCCTTTGTACTTCTATAAATTCAGCCATTGTACAGCCATTAAGAAATGAAGACAAGATTGAATTTATAATCGAGTTCTTTGTTGCTTTTTTCAAATATTCATTTGTGCAATTGGCTAGTCTTACAGTATTCCACATTCAAAATCTTTGTTATCATGAAGCTGGAAACCTTTGTTTGGGTGCATCGCTATTATGACCGTTGAATCAACGGTCAACGATCAACAGTTGACCTCCGCCCTAGCTGAGCGCTGGACCTGGG